CTTGACTGAAAATATCAGGAGGTCTTCATGCAGAAGTGGATTGTTATGTGTCTGCTAGAATTTTGTGTTTCTCAATTCGTGCTTAAATTAACTTGTAAATTCAGTTCATATTTTTCCCTTACTCTTTAGTAGTTTGTTATTTAATAACATCTTGGTAGAGATACGTTTTTATCTCAATGGGCATTCATCTGCTTATACAGGACTCCATTCATTGGATGACTGCGCTTTTGACTTATAAAATTATAAAGGTCCCATGATAAGGCCAACCTTGAGTGTACGTCGCAGGCCAACAATGCCTTGCCAGTCATCACTCGGGACTCACCCAAGGTACACGCGCTTGTCGTGGCGGAACTTGCGGTTGGTCATGTCGCCGTGATCACGGATGATCTTCCGCACGTGCTCCGGAGGCATGTCCTCCTTCTGCATGTCAACGAAGCCGAACTTTCGCTTCTCCGAGTAGCGCTTCGTCTGCAGCTGCTGCCATTTTCGGGCTGATACAAAGCGAGGGGGAGAAAAAGACACGTGCAGGGTGTTTAAAACACTGCAATGTCGTTGCACCCACTGCTCAAGGGAAACAAACATGCTCAAGGGGCTGAGTATGGTTTATTATACATGTCTAAAGCAGAGGCCTCCTTACATTTTTTAACCAAACGAGACAAACGTGTTTTTGGATGACACAACCCAACTGCACCGATGTCCAAGTTAAGGAGAACCCTAACCTAGCTCAGTTTTAATAAAGTGTTCAGGATCATCATACCAGATAGTTCAGCGTTGGAGCTAACCCTAACCCCGAAACCCGTTTTTTTGTTGCATTGGGGCAGTTATAAAATGTTGCATCCAAAACTGTTGTTGCAAGCGCTGCTGCTGCGGAAACTTCTACTCCTACTACTTTCTGCTGCTACTGCTGCAGCCTGCCGTGCTTACAGCTTCTACTGCTGTTGCCGCTACTACGATTACTGTGGCGGAGGCTGCTGCTGCTGCTGCTGCTTTAACTCAGACTGAAACTACAACTACATCAAATCAGCGGCAGACTGAGCCGGCTCTCGATCGCAAGGTTGCAAATTCAAATCCTGTTTGGGGGGGGGGTTACTCAGCACATAATCCCCCTCCCCCCATGGGGGTCTATACATTAATAACTAGTTTGCTTAGTCAACAGTGATTGTCCCATATTAGAGACTCGCCCTCCCACCCGCTCCCCGCCATAGGAACGTGGAATTTCCACCAGTGGTTCGGGGCTGTAAATGGAGAACCAGTGGCTCACCCTTCTCCTGCAGCTGCTCTTCGCTCATGAACTCTGTGGCGTTGCCTGGCCCAGGGATTTGGCCTCGCACTCCGGCGAAACCGAAACCCGCCATGGTCACCTCCGCTCTAGCACAGAAACATAAAACAACACGTCAACAATACATTTGTAAACTGAACAACAGAACATCACATAGAGAAACTGGCGTTCTCCTCGCTAAATTAAATACCGTGCGATTAACACGACTTTAGCAGTCGTGCACGAGCGCAAATGACAAAAAACAATGGTCAATAACGCTGCTTCCAATGTATAAAACACGTTATATACTGTAATAGGCGACGTTTCGAGCCATGCACATTGATCAGCTCTGCGTGTCGAGAGGAATCGCGCGGGAGGAGGCCAGGCGCAACTTCACAAACGCCAATTGAACAAAAAATAAAAATAAAACTCCGCTTCGCCTGCGTAATCGGCGCGTATTAAACGATGCCCAAACCAAACGAAGAATGTGGACGACTCCCGCAGACGCATTCGCTAAGTCTCTTTTGAAGCCGCGGCTTTGCCACGCAGCTCCGATGAAGACGGAGCGGGCGAGGCCCGACGTCTCGGGCGACGTGCCCGGGCCAGGGCCATGAGGGCCCGAGGCCTGGCCACTTGCAACCCCGGGACGGGTGCGTCCGAGCCGCTGCTGGTGGCGAGTGGACGCACCGGGAGCCCTGCAGGAGCCGCCGCTTCGCAGAGACGCTCACCGGGGGTTGAGAGGCGGACTTTCCCTTCTCTCCGACGCCACGGAGGCTCAAACTCGAGTAGAGTAGCCCAACATCGTGGGGCACCGCGATACAAGATGGCGAGCGGGGGGAGGGGGCGGGGGGGAGGAGCGCCCCTCCCCCTCGCCCCCGCCCCTCCCCCTCGCCCTCCCCTCGCCCCTCCCCCTCGCCCCTCCCCCTCGCCCCCGCCCCTCCCCCTCGCCCCTCCCCCTCGCCCCTCCCCCCCGCCCCTCCCCCTCGCCCCTCCCCCTCGCCCCTCCCCCCCCATCGACGACCTACGGCCTGACAGCGGCCATCTTACCTGGGCGTATTTAATAAGTAGAGTGACATTCTTTCTAGATTTGAAGCATTCGTGACTGCAAGCATTCATACTCTTAGGTTTTTTCGGTAAAGTCACGTAGGTAAAAAATAAAAACATTATTAGAAGTAATAATAGAAATAAAATATATGAATATTCTTGATTCTTTCGGTAATAAGAGAGAAATTGTCTTGCTGTGGTTTTCACACCTGATGATGATTGCTTGTGTTGCAATCGAAACGTCGTGATAATTTTATTGTTTTACTTGTATTATTTTATTATTTCTCTTCTACGTGAATTTACCAAAAGAACCAAGAATATGAATCCCTGCAGTCACGAAAGCTTTAAATCGAAAAGTAGAGTGACATTAAACCCATAAGAATAGGGTTTGACCCTTTCTGGCGATAAAACGGTCACGTTAAGATGTTAAAACACCAAACTGAAATATGTTTGCGAGGAGTCATGTCTGCATTAACCACATATACTTGTGGTGAACATGCTAACAAAAAAAACATGCTCTGGTAGTATATGATGATGCTGCTGCATTGTCTTTGAAACTGATCAGACAGCTTTCTTTAGAGCCTCGTCTCAAACGGCGTTGGACCAGAGGGCAACGCCAAAGTGCGAACAGCCCAAAAACAATTCCACTAGCAGGACATTGAGAGTTCGTGGTGAGCAGAGACTCGGCTCTAAAGAAAAGTTGTCTCTGGTGTGGACCAATCAGTTTCAAAGAGAATGCATCATATACTCCCAGAGCATGTTTTTTTTGTTTGCATTCTGACCACAAGTTTTGTGGTTAACGCAGACATGATTCCTTTAAAAAAATTCAGTTTGGTGTGTTAACATCTTAACACAACAGTTTTATTGCCAAAAAGGGTCAACCCTATTCTTGTGTTTTTTTATACTGACACGGGAGGTCCCGTGATTAAATGTTACCTCTACAGCGGTGTACATTAATATTTACAGTACTATATGTTTATGTGAGATGGGGTATATGAATAGCCCTTTGTCAATACACTGCTGAATGAAAGGCGTGCTGTTTTGTGAAGGGGAGCAGTCTAGGGCCGGTTCGTACATCGTTATATAATGCCGTATTTTTAAAATATATATACAACTTATCATTAATTGTATAAGGCTCCTCAGTTAACAATCTCGGCTCGGGGTGCGTTTACAAAAACCCCCAAAAAGCTCCGCGGGCATCTTTGTAAGGGGAGCGGACGGCCAGCCAATGGAGCCCACTCATCATCATCACCACCACGATCCATCTTGCAGATGTCCACTGCGCATCTCGTAAATTGTTTTCCACTTTCCTCTCTCTGTATTGTGGTGCCAATATGCGCTCGAGTGGCCACATCTTTCTGCCACCTAAGTCTTCTTATGATCAGAGTCTTCCTCTCTTTCCAGTTCCTTCCATTATCCAGAACAGCACTTTAAATGCTCCTATTGTACAACCTAAAAGATGTGTCCAAATAGTGCCACGTGTCCTTCTCATCACTGCGTGCCATCGTCAGGATTGTCTTCTACATATCTGTCAACTCCTTATCAGTGCTGCCTATCTGATTACAGACCAATTCAGACCTTATTGATCATCACCCCGTGCACCTTACAAATCTCAACGTTCATCCCACAAAGTCCCATCGCATGGTGAGACACAGACTTTGTTTGTGCCGCCCGTATTGAAACGGCTGTACTCCGCATGGACCTGGCAGAAAGATGTGGCACCGAAATACAGAGAAAGTGGAAAACAATTTACGAGATGTGCAGTGGACACCTGCTAGATGGATCGTGATGATGATCGAGCTTCATTGGCTGCCCGCGAAGCGTTTTGGGGTTTTTTTGGTTTTTGGAAACGCACCCTGAACCGAGATTGACAACTAAGGGGCGTTATACAATTAATGATAAGTTATATATGTAAAAAAATACAGGATTATATAACGATCAATACAACAACGCCAATAACTCAAAAGTACTTTATTTGTCCGGTGAAGTCTCACCGACTGGTATTTATTTAATAGTTTAAAGCGATTTGAAGCATGTTTTTTTTTGGGGGGGGGGGGGGGGCAGAGCTTTGTGACGTCATATTTGAGGGGGGGTCTGACTTTTTGTGACGCCGTGTGACGAAGGGGGGGGGGGTCAAAAATCGTCAAAACCGCGTGACGTCATTTATGGACGGCCCCTAAACAAAAATCCCATTCCATGTATCTTAGGCTTATGCTGAAACAATTATGGTTTACATTTTATACGTGTGACGATTATACCCCCGTCTCGATATGCAGTGCCTTTTGACGTCTCGGCGTCGCGATTTCATTACAAAAAAATCGATTTATAAAAATCCGAATTTAGCGGCCTCTAGTGGCTGGAGTTGTTACTCCCTGCCATTCACAAACTAGAATCCCTCAAAGTATATGCCCCCTCTGGTGGTTCAAACAAGTGAAACATCGAGTTTTGGGGCTCATATACCGAACTAATTGGTCACACAGCCAGGACCTGTGATATTTAGCCAATTTCTTGATGTTGCATACTTGAATAAAACCAGATTATCGGGAGAAACCCCACTAATTGGAGGAGATAACATTTAAAAAGAAATTGGCGAGGTCTAAACTCCCTTCCAAAGAGCTCCTGCTTCAACAACCGGCTTGCTGGACTGCCATCTACTGGCCACGATATATATCCAGATATTGCACACATTACGATATCATTGTTCAGCATTACGGTGCTTTATTCCAGGCTGAATAGAATTTTATCAACACAATTACGGAGCAGTGCATGTAGCCGTGTTGTTCGGTGCAGCACATACGTGCACAGATGCACAGACCCCCCTGGAAACATGTAACGTTGGGCGAACGTCGGCATGTGGTTGAAACTGATCAGCGAACTTGGCTCCACGTTGGAACAACGTTCCGTACTTACTGGGTACGTGCACTCGTACGCACACGTGACACACGTGGCGACCGGCGACGTTCACGTTAAACCCGTGTGGACAATTTCCCTGCGTTTTCTATCTAAATAAATATCAACGAAAAACAATTTTCAACGAAGGTACTTTCACGAAGGTGGCCACCGATGGCCCAACACGAATGCGGAGATTCACGTCAAGCGGAATTCGCCGCGACACATGCACAAATTACGGCGCGACGTGGATTTATAGGGCGCCTTAAGATGCTGTGCAAAAGCAGTGACTGGGTGTATTTATAATAAAGGTTTTTGGGTTAGTTCGAGTTATTTATAAATGTGGAGAGCCTCACCATTCTGACAAATTGCCCGATGAAGCTGGATGTAATTTCCAGCGAAACGTCGTACTCAAATTTAAAATCATGTTGATTCACTCTTCAACACACCGGTGGTCTAAAGTAGTGAACTATTGGTCTTTTGTAAACGTGACACATTTTTTATTGTTTGGCCGTGTCGGGTGGTGGAGGGTTACGACACATTTATAAATAACGCGATCTAACCCAAAAACCTTTATTATGAATATTGGTCGCGAAAGCCTACGTGTTGGGTGTATTTATTTAATAGAGAGAGGCAGCCAAAGGCAGATGAATAACAACGTGTCTTGCTCCCTGGAGTTGAACAGGACCGTTGACAGAGGCTTGCACTGCTGCGAATTCTCCTCTCAGTGTAGAGTAATATATTTGATATATAATGAAACTACCCGTTTAAAATTGTCATATAAAAACTGGTGAGATTAAAAATACTGCCGATTGGTGGTGTTGTATACTTACATCACACTGCATAACTTGCATAGCTTCATACCATTCATTGTATTATCCCGATTGATAATACGACCCGAGACAACGACGAAGAGACAAATTATCATAATTATATATTAGCATAATTACATACACTTGCATAACTTAGCACAAGTACACCTCCCTAATTAGCATACATTATGTTCATACTTACATAAATTAGCATGCTTTCGGATAATTACAGATTTTCCCATTTTCATTACATTTTTATTAATTTTATTAATTTTTCAAGACCCGACATATACAACGGTGGGCAGGTATGGTGACCGCTGCCCCCGTTCATTCAGCTGCCCCCAATTCATTGCAGGACGTGGGCAGCGTTTACAGCCAGCAGTAGCGGGCATCAGCAAGACATTGCAGGGCTGCAGCTTTCTCTTTGCCCTATGAAGACAAGATGTTGCCACTCTCACGTGAGGCCTGCCTCGACCATAATGCGTGGGCTCACCACAGGTGCAATATAACACGTTCCTTCGGAGTGGGCAGGTAGGAACTTGGTTGGACAGCGCATTCGTGCACGACAGACAAATATGCACGACAGACAAATAATCCCTGGTGGGCAGTGTGGAACCTGTTGTTCCTACCTGTATTATTTGTAAGCCTTCAGAGGTTGTATGCCTCGTCTTGCAGACAGCATATACAGTATATAATTACGTTAAAGCACAGTAAAATTAAACCTCGACAGTGGTGCACATTCATATACAGTACAGTATGTATCAGATTAGTATATTAATCGCCCTTTGTCAATCCACTGCTGAATGAAGGCTTCCCCACACCGTCAGTTTGTGGGGGTTGTTTGACCATACTTCACCGTAGTAGTCAGTGCTGGGTTGTGAAGGGGGCCAGCCTAGGACCGGTACATACATCGTTCGCCACATATGCCACGGACGGGAATCGAACTTTGGTCACCGGGTTTATAACAAAGTATGCTAACCACTGCACCACCACTCCCACACGTGACTTTACAGTATATACGTCTAAAACATCACCATAGTGCAATGTCAAGATAACTCGGCAGAAGATGCACGCTGTGCATAGCACCGATGGAAATCATTGTGATTTTGCTGACAACCAGCAACTCCCCATGTCCTGTACTATGCGTCTCACTGAACTCTCTCTTACCACAGCTTTGTTCATGCACGCTCCATCACCCAGTGGTGCCCATGCCCATGCTCATGCACGCCGTACGTCTATTCATTACGAGGCGTCTTTGCACGTTTTAATAATTCAACACCGGAACACGGCTCGAGATTCAAGTGGAATAACAAGTCAAGATAATATATTTGGTCCAAAAAAATCAATAAAAAAAACGTACATTAACGTGCCCTTCATGAAAAATAAATTACACCTTACTGCCTCTGGGTCCCATTGAACTTCGGTCATGGGCTCAGATTTCTCGAGTCCCGTTAGTACTCTGACTCACGGACGGGCATGGGTCTCTCACAGGGTACTAAATGGTCATTGAAGTGAGAGAATAAAAAACAAACGAAAGCAAGGTTCAACCTGGCTTGAAATCCAAGAGTTCTTATTTTTGGGCCAAAAATGGCCAGGAACATCCTCTGTATGGGACTGTCGGTCACCTGCACTGGCGAGCCCTCCCACTGCACTGCATCGTCGTGCTGTCTGAGCCACTCCACTCTTAGGGAGCCCCACTTCATCATGGGTACATATGCATCATCGTCATCACCACCAGCAGCTCCAAGCACTGCCAATGAGACCACACTGTTGCGTGCCAGGCCAAAACGGTCGACCGATTGGCCCGTTCGCTACACCGGTAATAACCGCGAGCCCTCCGTGACGGTGCTGTTGAACAGCGTCGGCGTCGGCCGCGCCGGCGAGTCCTCCACCTGCGTCATCATCCTCACAGTGATGCCGGCCGCCAGGACCGCCAGCGACAGCAGCGCGGCCAGGGAACGGCGCAGCAGCAGCTGGCACAGGGTGAGGGTCGACAACGGATGTCCGGGTGCGTTCAGCTCCTCGAGTCCCTCCATATCCGCGTTCGAGTCGGTGCCGTTTAAAGGCAGCACAATGACTTCGGGTGACATTTCGCTGGAGTCTGAGTAGCAGCACGGTCAGGAGCGATCGGCGGGTGTGGAGGAGGAGGGGGGGCAGATAGAACAGAAGACAATGAGATGAAGTAGAATCAGGGCCAGTGCATTCTAAGACATCCAGGGAAGGATGATAAATTATCTTCCTTCTATCTTTGTATTTCTACTCAGTGATGAAGCTATTCCACTCTCTATTATGTTGACCTTTTGCTAACACGTTAATAAACTATTATCCTGGTTATATTTACAAAACTATCCATATTAGCCTCTGTCTAGTTCTGTTCATTCTTCCTTCCATTTCACCGAAGAGCAATAGTTGATCTTGTTTTTCCCCGTCACACCACTAGCTATGTGTGGAAAATAAAGATTCGTGTTCTCTTATTTATATTTTTGTATACTGTCTCTCTTCGGTCTCTTGTGAGACAACATGCTTTTATTGTTTTTTATTGTTGTCTACGGAATATGCAAGAGCCCTCGTCAGTACCACAGAAGAGATATTGGCTACCCATAGCGGCATTTATCACTGAAACGATGCAGATGGCAGGATGAGACTTAACAATTTTCACCAATGTCAAGTCACCCTTACCGTGTTCTGCAGGTAGCCCGGAGAGTCCGATGATATCCTTGTCGGCATCCTGTTGCTCCTCCACATTCGGTGGTTTCACCCCAATGCCGGATCTCTCTTGGGCCTGCAGCAGGCATAATTATTCAGGTGTGCCAGCAGAATTCAACCAGAGCGATGTCGAAAAGGGATTGGTGGGAGGTGAGGCGGTGGAGGTAGCGCGGTTGGCATGGGCCATGGTCCTAGGAATGAAATGGGGCCTCCACCTACCCCAACGTCCCAATGCCCATCGTAGCCCCGCACTTGGGACCCCCTTACGGCCCGTGGGCCCCTGTGCAGCTGTGCTCCTTACACGCTCGATGGTGAAGTCACTGAGGTGACGCAGTAAGGGCGAGAAGGTAATTAAGGAGCAGGCAGACTTAGGCCTGGGCCACGAGCTAATATAACCAAGTACGCATTAGTCATGAGCAAGAGCAACGATCAATGCATCGGTGCAGCAATGAAGTGTTCAGGGAACTGAGAATGGATTATTTGAGCCTTACCTCATTGGCCATGGCCTTCCAGTCCAACCGGCACACGTAGAAAATCATGAAGATGCACAGCATCATGAGGCCGACCAGCATGCCGATCCAGAGACCTAGCACACACCACCACATCTCCGGCTCGTGAATACGCCATTGGGCAGTCTCCTTTACCGTAGGCCGCAGCATTGGACGTTAAAATCCACCAACGATTCTGTCACGAAATATATTCCATCTCCCCATGACCGGCCTAGTCACTGAGGCTCTTGGGCCACCGTCCTGGCACTCCCTCCACCTTTATCGGTGCTCACCCCTCACGGATCCGCAGCTCGTGGATTAAGCCCATCCAGTCTGCGATGTGCTGGACCCCCCAGGCCTTCTTGCCTTGCAGGGTGGTTTGGGATAGGTTTGTATGCACGTATGTATGTTGAACTTCTTTCGCACCATATGTAGCCAACCGTGCTAATCGGAGGTGCAAAATGTGATTAAAAATAGCATTGTTTACTTATTTATTCATGCCCTGTATGTATGTATGTTTAGTAATTCCTCGCTTAACGTGTTTTTGCTTAACGCAGCACTTTTCAGGAATGCATCTATTACTACTACCGTGTTAAACAACTGTACATCTCCGTATGGCTGGGGAAGCCGTTGTAGTTTCATGTCGAGGTTAGTGCTCCATTCAACGGCTTCAGTGCGTGGGCGATCGTCTGACTTGGATGGTGGCTCCAATCATCATTTGTTCTGCTCCTCACGCTCCACTCGTGGAGCAAGTGGCCCGCATCTTCCCTGCCCCTGTCTTCAAGCGGTCGAGGGTATGTCCAAGTCTTCCGTGGAAGGTTTGAGCCCTGGTACTTCACCGCTCGGAGTCAGTTACCACCATGTTGCGATTGGCGAGGTTTGTGGTAAATCAGGAGTTGCGCTGCCGAGATGTGCCCAAAAAAACTCATAAAAACAAACTTCGGCACAAATTAGGCCTGCCTCACCGATGACGCGTAGCGAGGTGCAGAACATGAGGCTGATGCCGATGGGAAGAGAGAATACGTTGTAACCCATGAAGTTGGCGACGGCACCGACCTTCTGCTTCCCTCCACCACGCAGGATCCCACCACTCACAACCTAAAGGGAGGGGGAGAAATGGAGGGATATGGAATGACAGATGGACATATAATTTTGATTCATTTCACATTTCAATGCCACCACATGTAACGGTCCCCACAACATCAGCATTGCCTACCCCCTTACAACATGACGTCAATCCTTGCAGTGAGTTGGCCTGGCGTAACCTCCGCATTGTGACGATCTGTGACTGGTGGCGGTAGACGAGGTGACGATTCCGGATTGGTCGTTGGGGATGAGGTGACAGCGATGAGATGAGGCGAGACGTGACGGGAGAGGGGACCGTGAGGATAACAGGGGGCGTTGGAGGTGTGGCGAGAGGAGAGAGCGGTGTATGAAGGAGGGAGCTTTGTGTGATGGAGGTGCAGTAAACAGGATGGGGCCCTTGCCTGGTCTCAGCCTGTGGGCGAGGAGAGTATCCACGACGCACACATTAAGTGGCTAACATCCCTTGTTGAGTATGGGCAACACAGCACAAGAATACAAGAATAAAATAACATTATTATTGATATCTGAATTGACTCTGGCCCCCCTCCAACCCTTAACCAAGCCACAACCAACAACGTGGTCAAGTATCATCAAAACAACCCCGTTGACCAACATGGCTTAGGGTGGCCCTCATCCAGCAGTGGATTGATAAAATGCTGTAAGTTATGACTATGATATTGTTAAAGATCATTTTCTTTCCTTTGGAATCACGATTCACCTGTTGGGAGGCAGACACGATGGGAAACGATTATTATTCCTGTAGCCATTTTAATTCTTAAAATTTTGTCTGCTAAATATTGAGTCTCAGACGCTTTCATCAATTCCTCTTTGAGTACATGTCCATTGACCCCAAAAAAACACTAAAGCATACGGAGAAAACCCTCGCTGGCGACGGGGGGGGGGGGGGGTACTCTCATGAATCCATTCCCCCCTCTCCCGTCGGCTCCACGCGGCACTCACCACAATCCCCTCGAAGAGCTGATAGGCGGCGCACACCGGAATGATGGCCGCCACCATGTCGATGACGTCGCTGCACGCGGTCAAACGTCAACGGCGACCGGGAAAGGGACGGGAGTGGGAGCGGGCAGTGGGGCACGGAAGGGGGGAGGCATCGTTAGCACCCGGCGCAGATCACACTCTGGGCAGAGGTACGTTGCCGCTCATTGCTTGCCTGCAGCAGTGTACGGCACGACTGGGTGGATGAGCCTATGGGCTGCACGCCAGGCATGGCACCATGAGGCCTACCACTTAAAAACGGCTGGCAAACAATGATTATCCGTCACTGAAAGCGTCTTAGCTGCACTAATCGGGTATTGGAGGGGAATAGTTCCGGCCTGGCAAGACTGCTTAGCGTGTATGCACCTGGCTCGCACGAGTGCCCATCGTGCCCCGAGGAGAGGAAAGCAGCCGCTTGAGTGCGGCAAGGTAAGCGAGCCGAGTTATTATTTTCCCGTGATTATTGCATAACGAGTGGCCCCCCAAAGTTGTTTGAAGGCCCTTCTGTGAGAACACGGTTCTCCACCCCTGGTCGGCAAGTTTCAAGTGCTGTGGTTTAATCCGCCTGGCGGAGGCAGCGACGGTGGCCTCACGGGGCGACGTGCTTACTGGTGACGTCACGGGGCGACGTGCTTACTGGTGACGTCACGGGGCGACGTGCTTACTGGTGACGTCACGGGACGACGTGCTTACTGGTGGTGACGTCACGGGGCGACGTGCTTACTGGTGACGTCACGGGGCGACGTGCTTACTGGTGGTGGTGTTACGGGGCGGCGTGCTTACTGGTGACGTCACGGGGCGACGTGCTTACTGGTGACGTCACGGGGCGACGTGCTTACTGGTGGTGGTGTTACGGGGCGGCGTGCTTACTGATGGTGACGTCACGGGGTGACGTGCTTACTGGTGACGTCACGGGGCGGCGTGCTTACTGGTGGTGGTGTCACGGGGTGACGTGCTTACTGGTGACGTCACGGGGCGACGTGCTTACTGGTGGTGGTGTTACGGGGCGGCGTGCTTACTGGTGACGTCACGGGGCGACGTGCTTACTGGTGACGTCACGGGGCGACGTGCTTACTGGTGGTGGTGTTACGGGGCGGCGTGCTTACTGATGGTGACGTCACGGGGTGACGTGCTTACTGGTGACGTCACGGGGCGGCGTGCTTACTGGTGGTGGTGTCACGGGGTGACGTGCTTACTGGTGACGTCACGGGGCGACCTGCTCACTGGCGGTGTCACGGGGTGGCGTGCTTACTGGTGGTGGTGTCATGGTGGCGAGGTGCTTACTGGTGACGTCACGGGGCGACGTGCTTACTGGTGGTGGTGTTACGGGGCGGCGTGCTTACTGATGGTGACGTCACGGGGTGACGTGCTTACTGGTGACGTCACGGGGCGACGTGCTTACTGGTGGTGGTGTTACGGGGCGGCGTGCTTACTGATGGTGACGTCACGGGGTGACGTGCTTACTGGTGACGTTACGGGGCGGCGTGCTTACTGATGGTGACGTCACAGGGCGGCGTACTTACTGATGGTGACGTCACGGGGTGACGTGCTTACTGGTGATGTCACGGGGCGAGGTGCTTACTGGTGACGTCACGGGGCGAGGTGTTTACTGGTGACGTCACGGGGCGACGTGCTTACTGGGGTTGTCATGGTGGCGACGTGCTTACTGCGCAGTGGTGAACACGTAGGACACGACGTGACGGCCCGCCACCAGGATGACGGCGTTCAGCAACTCCATGAAGCCTGCGGAGAGAACAGCGCGCGTGCACGAGCGTGTACACTGCGGTGCTCACTAAGTGGCACTCTCCTCCCCCGACGATCTTGCCGTGGAATCGATTCAACTCAGCCTCCGCGATCGTAGACGCTTGTCGTATATGATTAGTCTTTTTAGGCCACACAGTGTTATGGTGTGCAGATGCCACTGCCTGTTGTATGTAGGCTTTGTAGGGATTCGTTTGTGGGGCCGGGGGTGGGGAGTGAAATTATTTGGTCTACAATTTTTGGAAACCTGTTGGATCAACTCTTTACCCCCTACATCTGGGAGGGGGGGGGGAGTCACTTTCTGTAACTTTTAGATTCAGGTCTTCGGAAAGGGCTCTCATAATTTAGTTGACGGACAAACGGGACTGACGGGCTTTTACAATAGATGCACAAATGATAAATATTACACAAAGACTAACATGCCGTAGTAATCCACTTAGTCAATAGACCACGGTGGGTGGCAGCTAACTGAATTGTGGGTGATGACCTCCTGACCTCCCCAGTCATGCCGAGGAGCTGCCCCTCACTGGGAGCGAGGGGGGTGGCACTGTTGATCCTTAGTAAGCATGACATATTTCACACCCCCTGCACCCCAGCAGGTCTTGCCCAGCCGCGCTAGGGGCCCGCAGAGAATCTCCAGTACGTATGTACGTACGATGAACTTATTTCGCACCGTACGTAGCCAACCGTGCTAATCGGAGGTGCGGGGGAAGGAAATCGGGAGGTGTAGTGGCTTCACAATGCTGGCAGCACCTGGCAGCACATTGTACAGGGCCGAGGGTTTGCTAGTGCGTGTGTGTTTATATCGCAGATGTTATGAAGCGATCCCAGAAGCACTGACCGATGCAGATCATGACCACTTTGGCAGAGTTTTTGGCTTGTTCCGGCCGCCCAGCGCCAAGAGCATTTCCAACGCGAACGTTCACCGCCACAGAGAGCCCCAGGGGAATCTACGGCGGCGCAGAGAAGATACGAGAAAATACCAACAAGAGCAATAATAAGGCCTCTATTTTCACTGCAAGCATCAGCGAGTCTCGAACCTCTTGGTCTGGAGGGTCCCGCATTCAAACGTTTGGCAATGTCACGTCTGGCTTCATGTGGCAGGAAACTGGAATAGCCACGATGATTTGATTCGCGGGCCTAAAAAATAAATTACTCCCAAAAAACACACAAAGAGGGATGGTACCATCAGATCTGCGGTACAGTTTTGGCATTAATCGTTCGTACACTGGCAACACAATTATCGGCTCAATTGAACGTTCCTGATCGAAGGAGACACTGCTGGCCAACACTGCTCCAGGAGGCCAAAAGGCTCATCGACTAAACCGTTATTGTGTCTTTGATGTGGACAGATTCTTGGTGGTGTCCGACAGCTGTGTCAAACTTGGTTTTGGCTTTCCGAGTTTCAGGATATTACATTTTACCCTAAATAGTCCTTAAAGTGCCTTCGCCTGCCTCTGTTAGCCTTGGGCAATCCTGAAGTAGCCTTGGGTCTGGCTCTGCGCTGTCATTGCAGAAGAGAGCTGTCCCATTGTAAGTACGTATGCACGTTGAGCTTCTTTTGCAGGGTGATCGGATCGCTGGGACATCGCTGAGGTTTTTATTTGTATTCGTTTACCCAGGACAGCCTGACTGAGCCTCAATACTCTTTTTCAGGAGGGGGCAATTCGCCGTGTCTCCAAGTTGACTAATTTGCCGGGAATAAACGACACACGTGGCAAAGTTGAACGACAACGTGGGCACATGTGGGCGTGGCTTTACCATGTACGTGATGGTGATCAGCTGATAGGTGACAGCCTGGGACGCCTGCTCAAGCACTCCGAGGACACCTGCACGCACGTGCGTAGCACACAAAAAGACAAAGATCCCCCGTATAGCCTTTCACCAACTGTTGGGGCAAGTGCTGCTGAGCGAGCACCTATGAAGGACGCCACGGGACACAAGGCGGTGGGTGGTCAGCACCACGCCCGACCGCCTTTGTCTCCCCAGTAGCGATGTTCACACAACGCACCAGGTACTCATTTGAGGCTGAGACGACCTAGGGAAGGCCCAGCATCATTTCAGATAATTGTCACTGGTGTTGGCCGTGAGCAGGAATCGACCTCGGGTCACCACATTCATAGTGCAACACCACTGCTCCCCATGTATAACATGTACACAAGCAACCTCTCAGCCTTATACAACGTGCTGCCAGGTGCTGTTAGCGAGCACCTATTAAAGCTGGAATGGCTCATGACAGGTGAAGTGGACAATATAGTCACGCCCGGCCCCCTTTGTATCTCCAGTGCTGATGCTGACACACCGCACCCGGCACTACTCATTTAAGGCCAAGCTAGGCGAGACCCAGGGCAAGTTCTGATACCGATGGGCAGTCCTGTGTCTGGACTTGGATTCCAACCAAGATAACCCGGTCACATGGAGACATATGTTTACGTTTGGTTTGGACCGGATTCACAGTGGCGTTAATAGTAGCGCCTCTAGTGGCTGCCGGGGTGACGCAAACCCATTGCACACTGACGCACGTGCAAAGCCAAAAAAAACAGCGATTTTTTCGCACGCGGTTCCATGTGCTTGTGTAGGGGTGTCAAGGGAAGGATTCCCACCAATAGGAGGGTTAGTGGGAGGGGTAATCGAGGAGATATAAGGGGAGAACGGGCGGGAAGAAGGGGCCTTTTGGCGGGAACGAGATTGGGACGGCTGGGGACAGGTGTGGATGGGAGAAAAGGATTAAAAGACGAACCCCTGCAACCTTGTGTCGGCTCTCCTTTACACTTGCATCGTGCCCACAATAATCTACGATGATCGACGGATCGACGCATCGTTCCCACTCAAGAGTTTGCGATATCGAATGTGCACGCCCGTGCTGATTGACAGCCCGGTGAGGTTGTTACAACACAACAAACGCGTCACGTAAGACATGTTTTGACCCTCGCTTAGATTTCAATTGTTAACCAATCGGCAGGATGCTTGCGATGTGTAACGAGCGGAGCTGATCGTTAATCTACCGTGAAGCAGTTCATCTGTTTGTGTTGTATGTTGGTCGGGAGACATTTCAGAAACATCTCGCAGTGGCGAGATGTTAACTTCCTTGCTTGGTATGCAGGAGGTCATGGGTTCGATCCTGACCCTGACGCCTGTATATTTGGAGATTGCATGTCTCTCTCTCTCCATGGTGGCACGGATTTTTCTCTGGGTCCTCCGGTTTTTCCCTCCGCATTAAGAATCAACATCACGCGTTTAGAGTATTGGGCTGCTGTACATTTCCACATGATAAGCCATCTTCGTTGAGTTGTCATTTGTGGCTAGGTCATGTGGGGATTTCCAGCAGCCAAAGACTCTAAACACGTGACTGGTTCTAAATGTGCAGGGAAAAACCGGAGGACCCGGAGAAAAATCCACAAAACCACGGGGAGAGAGAGAGAGACACGCAGACTCCTGCACAGCAGGTGAGGGAATTAACATCTCGCTCCCACGGCATTGGGGTGGGTCTCCACGAGCGCGGTGATCACGGGGGAAGACCTCGGAGCCAATGGCTTGGAGACTGTGAGGGGACATCTCGGAGGTGGTAATGAGGTTGCACTGGCACCAACGGCTTTGGTCGCCGTGACATATTCGTTTTATGGTGGGCGGTTGGAGCCGGGAGGGGGAGGGGTGGGTGGGAGGCTGACCGGTCAGGAAGATGCCGACCTCGTAGGCCCACCACTCCATGCACACCATGACGAGGCTGGGCAGAGCCAGACGCATGAACACCCCCCAGTTCTGCAGGCAGTCCCAGGACCAACCTACACACACACACATAAGGCAAAGATCCCCCATGTAGCTTACACAGTCGACTGTGTAAAGTTATAAGGTCCTCCAAGTTGTGGTTTTTAATTCACTGCCCAATAGAGCACTCGTCTAAACAGCTCTACGATTTACACTGCTGCCGTGGTAGAGTTTCCTCTTCAAATCGTTTGGCTGTTATATTTTCGATGATCAATATTTTAAATTTTCAGTAGCATCCTTTTACCCCTCCCTCCCCTCCCCTCCCCTCATTACCTCCCCTCACCTCCAGAGTTTTCCCCGCACCTCCGATTAGCACGGCTAGCTATGTACGGTGCAAAAGAAATTCAACATGCATACAAACATCCTTGAAAAGTATCTCTTTAGATTGATGGGCCCCCACTGCTATTCTTCTCGTGCACGCGTGTGTGCGTGTGCACGTGTGTGTCCATCACCTGCCCAGGTGTTGCGGTGCAGGCCTTTCACTCGGATGTAGATGAAGAGCAAGATGGTTTGGCTGTAGGTGGAGATCACGTACGCCACCGCCGAGCCCCTGTCGCACGCACGCACGCACGAGAACGTACCCGATCGCACACACATTCCATTAGAGCGGTTGGCTGTGTATGGTGCGAAGGAAGTTCAACGTACGTACATACAGAAAGAGAGACGTAAAAACATGCCGTGCTGTGAACTGTAGGTACCCCCATTGCAGCTCTACATCCTGAGTGACCACTCTGACCACCCCGACCTCTGACCTATCCAAGTCTGGCATGATGAATGGGTTGAGTGCCTGTGGATTGGCAAGGCGTGCTAGACGGCAAGTGTGCTTGTGTGCATGCGTACCTGTGTGTGTGTGCGGGAGCATCGTGGTTAGCACACTGCACTATGAACCCGGCGGCCTGAGTTCGATTCTTGCCTACTGCCAACATCGGTGGCGTATATCCGTACCGGTCCTGGGCCTCAGCTAGGTCGACTCAGCCTTAAATTAGGACCTAGTGCAGTGTGCAAACGTCGGCATTGGGGAGACAAAGACGGCCGGGTGCATTTTCGGCCACACCACCCTCGTGTGACGTGGCGGCCTTCGTACAGGTCCTCGCCGACAGCGCTTGCCTCAACAGCCTGCGCGGGCTATATGGGGGCGGCTCGCTGTTTCCGCGTGTGCCACGGTGGCTAGGAGATGTTCACTACCTCGCCTGGTATGCAGGAGGCTGTGGGCTCGATCCTGGTAATGCATACTCGATTTTTATCCGGGTCCTCACTCCGTATTTAGAATCAATTTGCAGTCAAGAGTATTTGGCTGCTATAGTTTTAATTGAGCGCGTGACTCACGGTACACCCATTTCCATAACGTAGATGAAGATGTAGTTGAAGAGTGCGTTGAAGCCATTCATCAGCAGGCCCGTGTACACCTGTGGCATCGTGATGCTCTGCACTCCACACACAGGCAGCACACACGTGCCGTGCCGCAGTTGATGGCCCCACGAGCCTCGGCATGGGATCGGAGTTCTCAAGCGGAACTCAACCTCGCAGAATCGAGTAAAATTTACTCAGGATGATTTGAACAGCAATGGAGACCACGTTGTCCGATTCGAGGAGTTAAACGGAACGAATATATGTCACATGGTCGCACTCATGACGCACACAGCACTTGCCACAAATTGAACAACAACAGTACCTTGCTCATCTCGTCAAGGAGCATAAACCATCTCGCAAACTCTGGTCACCACATCGCGCGCCTTTATCTGCGCTTCTGCGGCCGTCTGGAACGCTCTTCCTTCCGAAATTGGAAAGCCACGGGGAGCTCTGCACTTTTAAAGCATCTAAATTGACAATCTAATTTCTTTAGAACTCCTTTTTGTGTTTAGTTTTCTGTCCTTCCCCCGCACCTCTGGTTAGCACGGTTGGCTTACACACGTACAATACCTTGATTTTAAGAGTAAAAACGAGATTGGTAGATGGTGCATTGTGATCGTTATGATCAAGCACAGATGTATGTATGCGTGACCCTTAATAGATACCTGCCAACATCACTTTCCACCACAGGCTTCCAAGTCAAGACGGGGCATCTTTGTTACACTTGTGTGCGTGTACCTAATCGCCACCAACGCGCTGACCTGGTTCTGAAGATACTTGCTCTCCAGTTGGTGCAAAAATATGGCCTGTGTGAAATCAAAACAGCACCACACACACACACACACAAAAACACACATTGTTACACAACACAACAACCTCTCGAATCAGCAGCAAACAAAAGCTGTGTACAATAGAAACTACCACATGACATGCAACACCGTTAACACTGAACAGCAGCGACCGATACACATTGGTCAGGAACCACTGTGGCCCTATGAGGGAAAGAGAAAACAAAACGTCTGACAGGTGGGTGACGTCTCAGGGCAATGGGCCCTCTTCGTAACAGTCGGAGACTGCGCCATGCACCACAGGACCCGAGAAACTTGTAGGATATGATTTCTATCAGGGCCCCAGGCTGCATCCTCAAGCTGTCACTGTTTGCTCTGTCTCTCTGGCCGCTCCGGTTCTCGGCTACAAAGAAGGCCTGTCCCATTGGCCAAAATATTTACCATTATATATGCGCGCGTGATTGAGTGTGAATGTTTTCCTTGTAGGGCAATGTCATTGATGAATTCAGTGTGATTGATTAATTTAGTGTAATTGATGCATTTAGTGTAATTGATGAATTCAGCGTAATTGATGAATTTAGTATCATTGATGAATTTGCGTTTCTGTTGATTGTGCGCCGCTGCCAACGGCGGTGTTGCCAAACGCTTTTGACATCGTCGACGTTCAAGCGAAATCGATGCACGTGGGAGCGTGATGGGGAGGGAGGGGGTGCTGCACTCACGGGCAGAGCCGGGATGCAGATCAGCACGTAGAGGCTCGCGAGCCTGCGGGTGGGGAGCGCGACACAACGAGTCAAGCAAACGAGCGGCGGGTTAAACGGAGGTCGCCTCGCGGGCCGCGTCCACGAATTTTTTTCGAACGACCTCCAACTCAAGACGGAAACTGGTTGAGCCGGGAGTGGAAACGCGCCGACGCCGCCCGTCGGGTTGCAGCTGTGCCCGAGACGGCCGTGCCCCCCACGGTGCCAAGCGGCACCTGCGTGGCGCGAGGAGCAGGCACGCACCTTGCCACCTCGGGGTCTTGGCCGATGATGAGCAGGAAGGGGCGGATGTTGAGGAAGAGGGCCCAGCAGGGGCAGCAGGAGAGCATGAGGATGATGATGCCTCTCTGCAGGATCACGCCCACCTCGTGCAGGTTCTTGGCTCCGTACGCCTGGAGAGAGAACGCCAGAGGTGGGACAAAGTCATTGTTATGCAAGTCCAAGTCGAGTCTGAAGTCATCAAATTCATGACTCGAGTCTGACTCGAGTCCAAGTCACATGACTCGAGTCCACACCTCAGAGGTGGGACAAAGTCATTGTTATGCAAGTCCAAGTCGAGTCTGAAGTCATCAAATTCATGACTCGAGTCTGACTCGAGTCCAAGTCACATGACTCGAGTCCACACCTCAGAGGTGGGACAAAGTCATTGTTATGCAAGTCCAAGTCGAGTCTGAAGTCATCAAATTCATGACTCGAGTCTGACTCGAGTCCAAGTCACATGACTCGAGTCCACACCTCTGGAGAACGCGCAGCGGGTGGCGGCGTGGTGGTGGTGGTGGTGGTGGTTTGTGTGTCCCCCTCTGGTTGAGGAATCGACGAAGTTCACGGGAACAGTGACCGTGGAAGCAGCAATAGAAGAGCGACGAGGAGACGTGTGACCGCCGCTGAGTGTGTGTCTGTGTGTGTGTCTGTTGGAGTGTGGGGAGCGGTGGTGTAGCGGTTAGCGCGCTGCGCTATGAACCTGGCGACCCGGGTTCGATACCCGTTCACGGGCAACACCAGTGACGATTATCTGAACCGGTCCTGGGCCTCCCCTAGGTCGACTCAGCCTCAAATGAGTACCTGCTGCAAAGGTGGCCGGGCGTGGTGCTGGCTTACACCCTTGTGCGCCTTTACAGCCTTCGTAGGTGCTACTCGCCATCAGCACTTGCCCCGACAGTCCGTGTAGGCGACAAGGGGGTTCTTTGTGTGTGTGGCGTGCGAGTCGACTGTGTCAGGCCGCTCGCGCTCCAACTTCAGCTGCTGGTCATGCGACACGCGCGCTCTGACCCACGCCACGCACGTGCGGCGCCGCTCCTGGCAACGACTGCCACAAGTGCAGGGGGCACCCAGCGCTAACGTGTCCCATGGTAATGCATACCCGTCAACCCCTTGTCAGTGCCCCTACCTTATTACAGACCAACTCAGACCTTATTGGTCACCCCGTGCCCCTCATCAATCTCAACGTTCATCCTACAAAGTCCCATCACAAGGAAGAAACAAAAACAAATAGATAAAATAAATGTTTGTTGCCCGTATTGAAACGGCTGTATGCTGTAAGGACCTGAAAATACAGTTTCCCTCTACAAGAATCCGGCGTGAACCGTACGGGTCGACACGGTGTGGTGATGTAACGGGCTCCTCCACAGCGGGTTCCCCACAACGTCGAGTTGACCGGGAGTGAACCCGCGGTATGTATGTACCGTATGTTTTGAACTTCTTTCGCATCGCCAGTAGCCAAGCCTGCTAATCGGAGGTGCGAGGGAAGGATGACAAACTAAACACGAAAAGGAGTTTTAAAGAAATGAGTTTGTCAATCTAGACGATGATGATTTAAAAGTGTAGTGCTCCCAATGGCTACCTAATATCGGAAGGAAGAGCGTTCCAGACGGCACAAAAGCGCGTCCGAAAGCGCCGCGCGATGCGGTGACCACCGCCTCCGTGCCCACACCACTCCCGCCACCCCCCTCGCTCCCGTTAACCACACGCGGACAATTCACGAGCGGAGTCACCGCCCCCCCTCGACCATCGTCCACGGACGGGGGTTCAAAGCGCCATGCTCGCGTTGCGGCCTCGAGGCGAGGGTTACTGGTTAACCTCGCGAGCTCGCCGCTGGGTAATGAGAAGTGGATCGCTGACGCCCGTGGTCTCCATTTGATTCGTTCGTTCTATCTCGCCCGAGGTGAGGAGCCGTTATGGATTAAGTGTCAGTCACAGGGATGATCTGGGTCAGTGCAAATTAATCCACGTGACCACGGGGAGAGAGACACGCAAACTCCAAATATACAACAGGCGTCAGAGTCGGGTTCGAACCCACGACCTCCTGTATACCAGGCGAGGTAGTTAACATCCAGAGTGGACAGACAAAGGGCCGTGTGTTCAAAAACACTAAAATCACGCTTTCCGTCCTCCAGAGCGCTGACGCGACCCCCGTGACCCCCTCCTACCTGTGACATGAGCGTGTCGCACGCCAGGGACATCCCAACGCCCACGGCGATCGCCGTTATGTTGAGAACCTGCGAGCGGAACGGACGCAGCGAGGGTCAACGCGACGGGCAGGGGGAAGGAAGCGATGGCGACGTGCGTGTGTGCGCGTGTGGCATTGGCGGCGCAGTCCGTGACGACCTCTTGAACTTGACCTTGAGCGCCTGGCGCAGCAGAGGCAGCCGGCTCTGAATGTGGAAACCTGTTGCTCATTGGTGAATCTATAGAAGCAGCCGCTCTGTCGATCCACTGCTGGATGAGGGCCTGCCCACGCCGTGCGGGTCATAGAGGCCAACTGACCGTACTGCACCGAGCTGGTCAGCGGGAGCTGAAGGCGGAGAGCACATCAACACGGCACAACAAGGGAATGCTCTGTGCTGCACAACGTGTGCAACCTCCCATCCTGGCGATTTGTTGAACTTTTACAATTGAGGGCCTCATTTTAATCTCAAAAATAGATTGTAATTATTTTTGTCTCGTTTAATCGCCTTGCTTGAAGCTGCAATTGGCGAGGGCGTTTCAGAAGCCATGTACTCTACGTCTGTATCACTCATCACATGATTTGGTAAACGCTGATAATTGGTTCTTTACCCTTCTATTTGGCAACAAAACTGACACCTTTTTGCAAGGAGTCATGTTTGCATAGACCGCAATACCTGCAGTCATAAATACAAACAAAAGACATAACTCTGATAATGTGCACTGTCCTTGAAGTTGATTGGTCCACACCCGAGACAGCTTTCCTTCGAGCCTAGTCTCATATGGGTTGGACCAGATGACGCCAAAAGGCGCACAACTCAAGGACAATGCACCATCAGAGTATGAGAGCTCGGGGCAAGCATCTACACTATGGGGACCTCATTTGCCAGTAAAAATATGATAATTGGTTCTTTACCCTTCTATCTGGCAACAAAACTGACACCTTTTTGCAAGGAGTCATGTTTGCATAGACCGCAATACCTGCAGTCATAAATACAAACAAAAGACATAACTCTGATAATGTGCACTGTCCTTGAAGTTGATTGGTCCACACCCGAGACAGCTTTCCTTCGAGCCTAGTTTCATATGGGTTGGACCAGATGACGCCAAAAGGCGCACAACTCAAGGACAATGCACCATCAGAGTTATGTCTTTTGTTTGTATTTATGACTGCAGGTATTGCGGTCTATGCAAACATGACTCCTTGCAAAAAGGTGTCAGTTTTGTTGCCAGATAGAAGGGTAAAGAACCAATTATCATATTTTTACTGGCAAATGAGGTCCCCATAGTGTAGATGCTTGCCCCGAGCTCTCATACTCTGATGGTGCATTGTCCTTGAGTTGTGCGCCTTTTGGCGTCATCTGGTCCAACCCATATGAGACTAGGCTCGAAGGAAAGCTGTCTCGGGTGTGGACCAATCAACTTCAAGGACAGTGCACATTATCAGAGTTATGTCTTTTGTTTGTATTTATGACTGCAGGTATTGCGGTCTATGCAAACATGACTCCTTGCAAAAAGGTGTCAGTTTTGTTGCCAGATAGAAGGGTAAAGAACCAATTATCATATTTTTACTGGCAAATGAGGTCCCCATTGGTAAACGCTGTTGCGTTGGCGCTGGTGTGCAAATCACGCTTCGTAATATGAACCCTTTTTCATTGCACACACAGATCATGTCTGCCATGGAGATGGGTCATTGCCCGAAGCGTCATCTCTTTTTCATTTTCAGGCCACACACACGGTGGTATACACACACACACGCGTAAATCTATATAGAAATTCACAGGCGCTTATACGGGGTGGGCAAAATATTCCGATTGCGGTCTTTATCCAGCATTGGGTAGACTAAGGCTGCCGATGACGACGACGGTAACAACAACAACAATAACAACAACAACAATAACAACAACAACAATAATAACAACAACAACAACAATAACAACAACAATAATAACAACAACAACAACAATAATACAAAATGTGAATTGTCTCACCGCCGACGCCAGCATCACGGAGTCCAACTCGATCTTCCCCAGGTGGCCGCAGAAGATTGTGCTCACCATGCTGATGCAGAAGATGAGGAAGCTGGACACGGTCTCCGAGGGGCGAGGAGAACACACGGGGGGGGGGGGGGGCAACACGTGGCATCAACCCGGCCATCCGCGCCACGGCTCGCTCACGCGGACGTATTGTGGAACGTACAAGGCCCCCCCCCTCTACCCCCATAGCAATGTGGACACATCCCACCACTGGCTCAGAAGTTGGGCAGTTGAGGACCCCGCAACGCCGAATGCTTTCTTGAGAACTGCTTTTTTGTGTTTAGTTTTGATTTGAAGCTTTTGTGACTGCAGGAATCCATACTCTTTGGTTCTTTCGGTAAAGTCACGTAGGTAGAAAAATAAAATAATATTTGTTATTTTATTTTTCTACCTACGTGAAATTTTTTTTTTCTACCTACGTGACTTCACCGAAAGAAACAAAGAGTATGTTCAGTTTGTTTGTCCGTCGCCCGCGCCTCCGATGAGCGAGGTCGGCCACGCGCGGTGAGTGCGAAAGAAGTCCATGGTACTTTTGAACCAAATTCGAACTCTTTGTTGCTTCGGGGCGACCCGAACTGACCGCAACGCCGCTGAGGATCGAGCCCCAGTCCTGGCGACGGGGTCAAGTGTCAGGGGGCACGCGGCGTGGGGGCGCCCAGCAACTACGCCGACCCCCCCCCCCCCCCCCAGCGAGCCGCCTTCCTAGGGCTCCCTCCCGGCCCCACCCCCCTCCCCCGCCAAGAGAACCCCCTTCGTATCCCCACGTCTCAACAGCACCACGCAATGTGATGCAGCCACGAGGCTTTCGCTGCTCCCGCGGCCTCCTCCAGCCACGAGGTTATCGGGCTCACAGGGGCTGGAAGGGGTCAACCGAGGGGAGAGCGAGCGCGCAGCCACTATGCCCAAAGTGCGTGCAACAAAGATCCCCTCCCCGTGTCCCCTTTAACAGGCTGTTGGGGAAACAGCTGTTATCGAGCAGCACCGATGCATGCCGGCAGCGCCACGCCCGGCCGCCTTTGTCTCCCCGCTGGCCTAGGGGTCCATCGTGGTATCTTTGTTGAAAGGCACTTTTGGGCACAGTGGCACCGTGCTCGCCTCCCGCTCGGTTGACCCCTTCCAACCCCTGTGAGCCTGATAACCTCGTGGCTGCATCACATTGAGTGGTGCTGTCGGGACACGGGGATACGAAGGGGGTTGTCTTGGGGTGGCGGTGGGGGGGTTGGGTTACCAGGAGGGCCCCCTCCCTAGACTTCTATTGAAGCCTTTCCTGCGGTGGCATTTCACGTACGGACGTGGGGGAAGAGAGGAGGAACAAGGTGGCAACGAAACTCACGAAATCGGGCCCCGACTTTGCACTCATCAACAGCAGCCCCTGCGAGACATCTCGTGGGCCGTGCAGGGGCGATGCGTCGCGAGCGGCTCTCGTTCCTCATTCCGGGGGGGGGGGGGGGGAGGAATTCTCTGCCCGTCCATCCCTTCCAAAGGACTCTCCGCGTGATTCCGCGAGAATTATTTTAAAACAAAGAAATCTAAATCTCGATGGAACTCCCGACAGAGCTTAGATCTCTGTAAGCAATGCGCAAGATGATAACGCTGATGGTGATTACAGTGGGAGTGTTGGTGTTGGTGATGATGATGATTGTGATTTCAGTGGTGGTGGTAGTGATGATGGTGCTGATGATGATTGCTCTTACCACTGGCACGGCGAGCATGACCACCTCCCGGAGTTCGCTCTTCCAGTTGACGGGAATGAACCGGGAGAGCGCCCTGCATCTCTCCCCGCCGCACAGATTCCCGCAGGGGCGAGCCATGGGCAGCAGCAGCAGCAAACCCTCCCGTGTCTCAATGTGTTTCTCTGTGTCAGACCACGCGTGTCTCAATGTGTGTCTCTGTGTCAGACCCCGCGTGTCTCAATGTGTGTCTCTGTGTCAGACCATGTGTGTCTCAATGTGTGTCTCTGTGTCAGACCATGTGTGTCTCAATGTGTGTCTTTGTGTCTCTGCGTGTCACTATCTCCCTGTATCTCCGTGTCTCTTGTCTCCTTGTGTGTGTGTGTCTCTCTCTATGCGTGTCTCCGTTTATCTTCACAGCGGATGCCCTACACAAAGACAAAGATACCGCCCCCATTTTCATTGTATCGACTGTTGGGGCAAGTGCGGCAGTGCTGATGTTTACACACAGTACTAGGTACTGTACTCATTTTAGGCCGAGTAGACCTAGAAGAGGCCAAATACAGTTTGGGGAAACCACAGGGAGAAACAAAGTTCCTCTGTGTGGCACGCAGACACGATGGGATCACGTGCTGTTCGCGAACACTCATTGAGGCGCGACTTAGGGTGGTGTGACCAGCAACACGCCCGGCCGCCTTTGTCTCCCCAGTGCTAAGAGAGAGGTCCGAGGCAGGTAGAGAGATGCCACTCGCTCCGAATGTTTTCTGTGGCCGGGAATCGAACTCGGGTCGCCGGCTTCGTAGCGCAGCGCTCGAAACACTGACCTACCGCTCCTCACTCAAAGACACAGATATAGACACAGTTAGAGACAAGGATCCCCCGTATAACCTTAACACACTGTTGGGGCAAGTGCTGCTAGCGAACATCGATGAAGGCCGGCACGGCACACGAGAGGGGGTGACTAGTAACACGCCCGGCCGCCTTTGTCTCCCCAGTGGCGATGTTTACACGCCGCGCCGGGTACTGATTTGAGGCTGAGTCGACCTAGGGGAGGCCCAGAACACACTGTCTCACGCACGAACACACACGCGCGCGCGCTCTCACCTCCACGCACCCTCGGTGCCGTTACCGGCAGCTGGACCAGAGCGCCGCAGCGCCAACTCTCTCTCTCTCTGCTCCTCTCGAACACAACCCCAACCACCACCAGCAGCACCACCACCCCCCCACGCTTTTATCTGCGTGGCCTCCAACCAGGCTGGGGGGCGGTGTAGAGGGATGGAGCTTTGGGGCGATTGTGTAAGTTCCCCCGGCGGTGGGGGTCATGTAAAGCGGGGGTTGTGGGGGTGCCGTTTAAATGACCACCGCCGACCAGGCAGAGCGCCCGGGCTGGGAGCCCAACCTGTTCGAGGTGACTCAGGTTTATGGTTTTTTTTTACAGCAGCGGCTGTTGGACGCACATTACATCATCCCCTTCCTCCTCATCATCGGCCCTCGTCAATCCACTGCTGGATGAACGCCCCCCCCTCCCCGCCCGCCAACACGGCTCTGTGATGCAACAACCCACGTGTCGCCTGCAATCGAGGGGATGTTATTCCTCGGCCCGTCGTCTCGTCGGGTGGGTTCCGCTCCGCCACGACCCTTGGCCATTGCGGGGGCCGACGTCTCGGCCAAAGGCCACCCCCCCACCCCCCATCTCTTACCTTTCTCAACAGATCCCAATCGCATTTTAACCTTGATGAGTATTGTTCTCCCACGCACGTGTTCCTCTTGTCGCCGTCATCTCTCTCCACTCTCTTCCCTCCCCTCGCCCTTCTACTCCGTGCCCCCTTCTACTCCGTGCTATCCACGTGACCCCACGTGCCCCCCCCCCCCTGCTCTCAACGTGACCCCACGTGCCCCCCCCCCCTTGTTACGGTCACTCATTTCTCGGCCCTTGCACCAACCCTTGACCATCTAAATCTGTCTGTTTTTTTTGTCAACGCTTTTAAACTCTGTTGTTATAGGGCGCCTTGAGCTACGGCGCTCTACATAAATATAAAATTAAGATGGGATGTAATTAATTTACACGCGAATATTTGTCCGTGCGTGCATTGATAAGCATCGGTTAATGATACACATCCCCTTCGGTGCACGGGCCCATGGACGATTGGTGACGGAATGGCAGCCAAATGATGGAAGGAACCGCCCCGTGAAGGTGACCACGGGCGGACAGTGATGGAGCTGTGAGGTCATCATCTCACTTTAAAACCATTAAGCTACTTATTGTGCTACCAGGTGCAAGGCCCCGCTGAGCTAAGTAGCTGTTTTTTCAGAAGCGACCTCGCCATCACAAGTGATCGCTCGACGAAGTCGCTCGTCGTCGTCATCATCATCATCATCACGTGGACATGTACAGCAGCCGAATACTCTGAACGTGTGGCGATGTTGTTGCTAAATATGGAGTAAGAAACCCCGGAGGACCCGGAGAAAAATCCACGCGACCACGGGGAGAGAGACACGCAAACTCCCAATATACAGCAGGCGTCAGGGTCGGGATCGAGCCCACGACCTCCTGTATACCAGGCGAGGTAGTTAACATCTCATAGCCACCGTGGCGCCTCATCCAGCATTGGAATGCCAAATTGTGCTCGGAGCGAGATGGATCTGCGCCCAAGGAAGCCCCGTGACACCCGTGGATAGACAGATCATGAGCGCATGAGCAGGTTCGTCAACAGGGTGGGGGGTGCGGGGCCCGGGGCAACCCCCCCCCCCTCCTCCTGTGTGGGGTCTCCGACGACTTCAAACTAAAACGGAAAGTGTTACATCTGACAGCGCGACGACGAAAGCGCGCCCCCCTCACACCCCCCCCCCTCCCCAAAGGGCGGGGCCCGGGGCGGTCGCCCCGATTCGCCGTACCCCTAGGGGCGACTCATCTTCAGCCTCGAGATTAGCTGAGCCCCGATAGCGTTCACCCTGCCAACCGTGAGTGCTCTGCAGTGAAGTGACGTCTGCCCGTAAAGAGCCAGCAACGGCCCACCCGGCGTGGATGTTTGTACCTGAGCGATGTCGCAACATCAGGACTGTGCCTTATTGACGGGGGGAGCGGTGGCGCAGCGGTTAGGGCGCGTCGCGCTCCGAATCCGCGCGGCGACTCGAGTTCGATTTTCCCGCTCACGCGCGATAAGCAGTGACGACTCAGCCTTAAATGAGTACCTGGGTGCGATGTGCAAACATGGTTAGTGGGGAGACAAAGGCGGCCGTGCGTGGTGCTGGCCACCCAAACCCCCCTTCGTGTGCCGTGCGGGCCTTCATAGGGTGCTACTCGCCAACAGCACTTGCCCTAACAGTCTGTCTTTGTGACACAATGTGTGTGCGCGTTTGTCATTAAGGAATGCCGCTCACGGTTCCCTGCCAACACTGATTGACTCTTATAATCGTGTATGTGCATTGGGTTGATAAGTAAGAAAAGAAAATTCTCAATCTTAAACGAAGCGATAATAGCTGTTAATGATTTTTGTCGTGGTGGTGACGATTCTGGTGATGATGATGATAATAATGGTGGTGGTGATGTTGGTGATAGAGATAATTGTGGTGATGATGGTGGTGATCATGATGGTGGTGATAATAATGCTGTTGCTGATGGTAATGATGGTGGTTATATTGTTGGTGAGGGTGATGATAACGATGGTGATGATTGTGGTCGTGATGATGACGCTAGTGATAATGATGGTGGTGTTGGTGATGATGATAATGGTCGTGATGATTGTAGTGATGGCGGTTAAATTGTTGGTGCTGGTGATGATAACGATGGTGATGATTGTGATCGTGATGATGACGCTCGTGATAATGATGGTGGTGCTGGTGATGATTACATGTCCACTCACACCTCCTATGCTGATTCTGCTTTCCTCACGATGCCATTCACTGTAATATGTCACCATTTACAAATGCTGACCTACGGTGCTGTCAATAAATCTCGAACATTGAGTCGCCACGCCCACTCAACAACCTTCGATCTCTGATTATGTGTCCCGTTCCGACTGTACATCTGTGCAAGAATAGCTTCATAGCTCGTCGGATTCCTCCGATATAAACACAGATTCTGGATTTGGGTTTCCACGTTTTGTCGCTCGGTGGTGTCCAGATAGCAACCCAACCACCCACATCACACAGTGCTATATCACTTACACCGTGTAAAACAATGTAAAGTTTTGCTGGCTGCCTGGCTCGCGTCCCATGGCTGCCTGGCTGGCTCTGGCACGTGGGACGACGGTGACGTCACAGCGTTGGGCCGACTCGTGCGTGCCGACTTCACGACTCCCCCGCCCCCCCACGCCGAATAACACTCCGAGGGTCCGAGGAATTGACGAACCACTGGCTGTGCTCCCATCTCCTGGCCACCTCGCAACGCAGCAGCGAGGTTTTACTGAGGGCTGGGGGCTAGGGGGGGGGGTTCACAATTCTCAACACCGTTGCTCGGCCCGCGGGCTACTGGCGGCCCCTCCCCCACTCGCACACGCTGCCACGTGAGCCGTCAACACTTTTGTCCGCGAAGCGCATGTATCACTGATGTTGGTCGCTCGTCTTAAACGTCGGTTAGGCGTCGAGAAGGGGGGTGGGCAGCAGCTGCCGTTAGTGGGGGACGTCACGTGGCCTCTTGTAACTGGCGATGTGGGGGGGGAGCGCAAGACAATAAAGACACAGATCCCCCGTGTAGCCTGTACCGGACTGTTGGGGCAAGTGCTGTTAGCGAGTAGCACCTATGAAGGTCGGAGCACCACACGAGGGGGTTGGTGGCACACGCCACTCCCGGCCCCCTTTGTCTCCCCACTAGCGATGTGTACGCATCTCACACGGTACTAATTGGAGACTAGGTCGACCGAGGGAAGGATGCCCTGGACCCGGTTTAAGATCGTCGTCACCGGTGTTGGCCTTGAGCGGGAATCGAACTCGGATCTCTCCGCCGTGTTCGTAGCGCAGCGGAGCGCTAAACATTGCATTCCCGTTCCCCAAGACAATGCCCTTCCCTGTGAGCAGCAGTCCTTCTCTCCCCCTCCGCCCTCAAATGCTTCTTGCCCACATGGCGATCACATGAGCGTGTTCACGGACAATGTTCCCCGACCCGGGGCTCAATTCCCAGGGGCGGGGAGCGTCGCAAGTGGCGAGCGGTGCGGCGGTCTCAGCCTGCCCCCGGCTCCTCCCCGAGGCTGATGACTCTCGGTTTTAAATGAGTAGAATACTTGGTGCGTTGTTGTTATTGTTGTTGTTGTGAACGTCAGCAGTGGGGAGATGAAGGCGGCTGTGCGCGTGTCGGCGGCCACACACCACCCAACGCCCTTTGCGTGACGTGCCCTTGTCCTAATAATAGGTGCACGCTGCCGGCACTTGCCCCAGCAGTCTCCAAGGCTTTATAAACGAGGGATCTTTATCTTTGTGCGAGAGATATGGGGATTGGGGGGAGGGGGGCGGATCACTTCTTCTCTAAATTTATCTCGTCAGTTGTGAAAGTCGGTCATCGTTTCTGAATCAATGCCATCGCTGGGCCAGCACCACGGTGGCCACTGAGAAAAACATTATATTGGCCCAAAATTATCTGGCAATCATCATCATCATCAGCAGCCGTGATCATTCCACTGCTGGATGCTTGGTGCTGGTCACCCACCCCCTCGTGCGCCGTGCCGGCCTTCATTAGGTGCCGCTAACAGCACTTGCCCCAGCAGTCTGTCAAAGACTACATGGACGATCTTTGTCTTTGCACAGTCATAGGTGAAAAGGGAGTCTACTATGTCCGTATGTGTAGCCAGTCATGAGTGTTAGCCGGGTCGTGGTGGCTCTGCTGCTCCGCGTGGCCGCCTGTAACCCAGCACCGTGCAGGCAGCAAAGAGGGTTGGTGGATCACGCACGGATGTTTTGAAACCTGAGGAGGTGCCATACCCAGGCTCGCCAGGAGAAGGGAGCACAGCAAAGTGTGGACTAATCTCCATCTGTTGACATCTGTACGGGGGATCGAGTGTTGCCCCCTCGCGCGCGGGTGGTTTTCTCCGGGCGCTCCGTTTTTCTTTTTTTATCTCGCTTGTTCAATAAACACAACTCATCATTAATTCGGGGCTGGAAACATCTTAGCATAAACAGTCAAGGTGGCTGGACCTTCCTCACAGAGAGCACAGCGACTCAGCGTTGCCCTCCTGAATAAGTAAGGACATTGCAATTATGAAAATAATCACCATTGCAATTGTTGACGCAGACATGGGCACGTGTACGGGGAGGGGAGCGCAGCTGCAAGGAAGCCGATGCGGTTTTGGGCTCTTGAGGTCTGGGTAGAGCGCTGATGTGGCTCAGTCCC